TTACTCTGGGTGCTAAAGAATGAGTGACTATTTTTTCCACCAAATACATATGAAAAAAGATTTCGCTGCTTAAATTAACTGATAATTGGTTTGAAAATAACTAACCACAATTTTTCATTAGTGGTCATGACCTAGCAAATGTACGACCAGTGAGGAATTCCACAGTGGGACTAGACTTCTGTCATCCCCCAGGTGGCTATGGAATGCAAGCCCACTGAGGTAATGAGAGCACAGCTCTTATCCTGGGAATAAACATCGCTTCTAAATTTCCCAAATTCATGATTGCAATACTGAGATGAAACCTGCAATTACCCGCCAGGATGTCAGCCTCATTCATGAACTGGGTGCTGAAGAGGATCACACGGTCTGCTTTACTTTCCTTCAGGAGGCTCCACACGCGATGGCGTGAAAAGGGATCCATTCCAGTAGTTGGTTCATCTAAGAGCAAAATCTACAGAGGATGAAGATATATAAAATGTCTCTCTTCTGCATTAATTCTTTCCACATGATAGCATGGAAAACCATTAAAACCAAACCAAAACAAAAATAGTAACCATCCAACCATTTGTCTCCAACATACATTTTATTTATAGCTAAACAATGCAGATTCTCTCTTGATACATTACAATAAAAGCTCTATCACTTTCAGTGGTAAAGATCTTGACCTTTTACTGACATTCAATCTGCTTTCCTCCCCACACGTAATCTCACTTACTTGAGGATCTCCTAAAATGGCAATCCCAAAGGTCAGCTTTCTTTTCTGTCCATCACTTAAATGTTTAGCAAGGTTATCTTGAATGTTTTCCATGTCCAATTCCAGTAAAATTCGTCGTACCTTTATGAGAAAATACACAAAGCTTAAAATCCAAAATGATTCATATTTTGCAATTTTAACTGCCCATTAAAGCAGCAGAAAATTTTTATAGGACCTCCTTGCCTACATTTTATTTGTAACAGGGCAGATAAATCACTGAAAGGAATTCTGTGGTCATGATTTAACTTGGTAAATGGTTGGCAGTTTAATTAATCCAAGCATGCCCATCACCTCTTCTTCCACTTCCTGTGGGTGAATTCCTCTTATTTTGGCAAACAGGCTGAGGTTCTCCTTCACAGTGAGCATGTCAAATTGAACATTGAATTGAGGACAAACACCAGTCATCTTTCTGATCTCCTCCAAGTCTTGCATTTCACAGAGATTTTTATTATAGATGGTAACTGATCCTAAGAAGTTAACAGTAATTTAATGACAGCAGGATAACACATTTTATTAATGTCTGAAGATCTTACTCAAGAAAATATTGGCATATATTCACAAATGTCTAAAATGGTGACTTCAAAATTTGTTAATAGCTACTAATTATTCTTAATATAAATATATGCCCATGGTAGCTCATCTTTCCCCTCAAATATCACACAATGGAACAAAGATGATTTTCATAAAATTTTGGAAAACATGAAATATATTCAAAATTGTATAGTTCTGGGAAACAACTTCAGATAATCATTATTTCTCTTAAGCCATCAATTTAAAATTTAAAGTGCGAGAGGCACACATATGATTCATTCTTTTATCAGGTATGTTGCCTTTGAGACATTTCTTTTTGCTCACCTTCTGTTGGAACGGACAATCCATTAAGAATGTTTAGCAGTGAAGATTTACCAGCTCCACTGTGACCCAGGATTGCTGTGATTTGACCTTCATATATGTCAAAGAGCAAGCCTGTTTTTAGAATGAAATATTAACATTATAAACAGGAGGTCATTAAGTAGAGCTGGTCCTAAACATAAAACAAGACAATTTAGTAGAATGCTGTATTTATCAAACATTTCAATATCTTAAAATACATAATCAATATTTTCCTAATTACCAAAATAATATATTGGCAAATTATAATAATTAAAATATGTTACTGATACAGTGACATCAGTGGAACACAAATAATTAAAATAATGTTATTGGTGCAGGTTCAGTGACAAATGGAACAAAATAGAAGTCTAAAATGGACCAAAACTAAACACAAAAGTAAAGATTAATTGAAAGAATGAAAAGAAAGAACAATCACAATACTACGT